AGTCGCGCGTAGACAGAAGAGCGAGTAAGTGCTAAAGCACATAAGGCTCAGAAGCTAAAAGTGTAGGTGTGAAAAGTGCACGCTGAGGTATAATACAACGCGTTAAGGATCAAACGCAGCCAAACGTCGTTCGTAACGTTCGAAACAGCTGTGTCGGATTGTGGCGAGCACAGTGAAGAAGGGGAAGGTATTTCCCGAATGTTACATGTAACGTTTGGGAGGAGGAGCTGGAGTGCTTGCCTGGGTGCGGGAAAGCGCTCCGGTAGCTGAGGGAGTGCGCTCAACACCAAGCAACAAGACACACTTCTTTATCAGTACAATTTCACCAAGAATAATTAGAAAAGAAAAAGAAAGCAACAAACCCGGGATCCGCCCTGCAGCAGCTCCAAGCTGCTACCGGACAATCGCAATAGTTTAAAGCGGCATCGGCTCCAAGCTACCGCCACGCACCTCCAGATTACACAAAACAATACAGTCACAATAACAATTTCATTTTCAATGATCACATTAAATATCACGGAGGTGGAAACTCGAGCCAAGAGATGGGACATTTGCACATTCCAGGAAACTGAAGGGCAACTGGCCAAGGCGAAGGGGATTTCGCCTCCAACTTCGCTTCCTTGTTACTCGCTGCTTCTTCCTTTTGCAACACGCCACCGCTCGCCTGAGCTCGGTCCCCGAGCTCCTAATCTTCCTCGTTCTTCCTTTTTCCTCCTTTTTCTCCTCTTTTTGCTCACATCTTCACCCAAAGCTTGCAGCTCTGTTTGTTCCATTACATTTCCGGCTTTTCTCAAACTGTATCACGTGTCACAGCATTGTAATAATATATTTTTCCATCTGGTGACGCGTCATAATGTGTTTTTCCATCTGGTGACGCTAATAAACAGCGGCGCACATCAAAGCAGCCGGTGCGAAGACGCATTTTTTGCACAGTTCCCCGCAGATTTTTGTAGCTAACGGCACTGTCACTTCCGGTAGATTCTTCTAGCTAAATAAAGACTGGCTGCCAAAACTGTCAGGAAACACCCCCCTTAAAATTTCAGCTTTCTAGCTTTCCTGGCTCTTGGGTTAGCAACTCACTGAAAAAAAAAGTTTCACGAGCCCGTACATGGGTACCACGCATATCCAATGTTTGGGTTTGAGCTCGTTGAGACTTACGTGGACGGGGAACATCCTCTTCTAGCTTTCCAGGTTCTTGAATTAGCAACTTACCCGAGAAAAACTTTGGTGAACTCGTGCGT